TGGGGGTGGGGGTTGGGGGTGGGGCCTGTTTGACCTTGAATGGGGGGCTGGGGGGTGGGGCCTGTTTCTCCGCATTCCTCATTTTGCATATCGCCCGCGCTTCTTTCGCCTTAGCGCCCCCTGGCGGAGCGGCGGTACCACATCCATTGGGGGGGGGTGGGGGGGGTATCAAGAGGATGCTCAACCCATATAAAAGTCCGGGTGGGTTTTATTTTGGAGGGGGGGTGGGGGGTGGGGGGGGGGTCGATGACGTCACCGGGAAATAAAATCACCCCCCCTCCGCAAATTAATAATAATAATTAATAATTAATTATAACCAACACCCCCCCCATCCCATCCCCCCCTCAACCCCCTCCCCTCCCCCCCCCCCCCTTTAAAATCCACCCCTTGGGCCTGGCCCTCCCCCCCCCCCCATCCCCCCCATTATAGGGGTGTCCCCCCATTATAAGGGTGCCCCCCCCATTTATAGGGATCCCCCCCCCATTATAGGGGTGAATTGGAGGGGGATGGGGGGGGTCCCCCTAAATCCTTCCAGGCACGGCTTTGGGGGGGGGGGGGTTTGGGGTGAGGGTGGGGGTGGGGCAAAATGGGGGGGGAGGGGCATCACCCCTCCCCCCCCCGGGAAGGCACAGCGCAGTAATGGGGGGGGGAATGGGCTTAAAATGGGGGGGGGGGCTTTATTATAAGAGGGGGGTCCCCCATATCCTATCATACGCACGGCGTACAAGGAAGGGGTTTATGGGGGGGGGTCCCCTCATTGTGTGGGGCTGGGGGGGGGTTTTGCGTTGGGGGGGCCCCCCCCTTTGTCCCCCCCCATAGCCATCCTTTGGGGGCCCCCCCCTCGCAACGCTTGGATGCGGCGGCACTCGGGGCACACCCGGATGTGGGTACACGGAGGGGGGCCCCCCCCCCCCCGGACCCCCCCCCGGACCCCCCCCCTTCCCCAATGGGGGGCCCCCCCGAACCCGAATAGAGCTTCCCATTGCTAAAGCGCATCTCCCTTAGGGGGTGTGTGGGGTGGGGGGGGCCCCCATGAGGAGCGGACCCCATCGTAGCCCCTCCCCCGCTGTGGGTTGAAGGGGGACCCCCCCCAATTTGGGGGACCCCCCCCCCCGGACCCCCCCGACCCCCCAAAGGAGGCCTCCTTCGACGGCGCGCACGGGAGGGCTTGCGGCACGAGACGGCGCGACGCAGCTCGCGGAGCATCTCGTTGCATAGGGAGAGCTGTGGGGTGGGCGACATAGGGCTGAAGTGGGGCCCTATAGGGCGCCTATAGGGCTCTATGGGGCAGCCGGGGCTCTATGGGGAGATTCGGGTACACACAGAGCCTATGGGGAGCTCCCGGCCCATCAGAGCCCCTTGGGTACCGCTCGATGGGACCCATTCAGCTCGCATCTCCTATGGGGTCTATGGGACCCATCTCCTATAGGACACCCCCCCTCCCAGTCCTATGGGGCCTCACGTCCCCTATGAGCCCCCCACAGCCCCTATGGAGCCCCCCACATCCCCTATGGAGCCCCCCCCACAGCCCCTATGGAGCCCCCCACATCCCCTATGGAGCCCCCCCCACAGCCCCTATGGAGCCCCCCACATCCCCTATGGAGCCCCCACCACATCCCCTATGGAGCCCCCCCCACAGCCCCTATGGAGCCCCCCACATCCCCTATGGAGCCCCCCCCACAGCCCCTATGGAGCCCCCCACATCCCCTATGGAGCCCCCCCCCACATCCCCTATGGAGCCCCCCCCACAGCCCCTATGGAGCCCCCCACATCCCCTATGGAGCCCCCCCCACAGCCCCTATGGAGCCCTCCCCTATCCCATACAGAACCCCCCCATGCCCCATGGGATCCCCTGGACCCTAATGGATCTCCCTATCCCCTATAGATCCCCCCACTGCATAGGGGGACACGCTGTCCTCTATGGGACCCCCCCATATCCCACAATCCCCTATGGGAACTCCCGTGTCCCTCATTACCCCCATTGCCCCCCGTTGCCCCCATTGCCTCCCATTGCAACCATTGCTCCCATTACCCCATTGCCCCCATTGCCCCCCATTGACCCCATTACCCCCATTGCCCCCCACTGCCCCCATTAACCCCATTGCCCCCACTACCCCATTGCCCCCATTGACCCCCATTGACCCCATTACTCCCATTGCCCCCATTGTCCCCATTGCCCCCATTGCCCCCATCACCTCCTCGCTCTCGGCTGAGCGCCGCGTTGACCACACGAACTCCACCACAGCCACGAAGACGGCGACGATGAGGCCACAAACCAGCACCACGAAGATGCCCCCAATGTTCTCCATGCCCAGCCCTGGAGGAGGAGAAGACCCCACGCATTCATTGGGCTCCATTGGGCACCATTGGGTGCCATTGGGCTCCATTGGGCACCATTGGGTTCCATTGGGTGCCATTGGGCTCTATTGGGTACCATTGGGCACCATTGGGTGCCATTGGGTGCCATTGGGCTCCATTGGGCTCCATCGGGCTCATTGGGCTCTATTGGGCACCATTGGGTTCCATTGGGCTCCATTGGGCTCTATTGGGTGCCATTGAGCACCATTGGGTTCCATTGGGCTCCATTGGGCTCTATTGCGCTCCACTGGGTTCCCTTGGGCTCCATTGGGTTCCATTGGCCTCCATTGGGTGCCATTGGGCTCCATTGGGCTCTATTGGGTGCCATTGGGCTCCATTGGGTTCCATTTGACTCCATTGGGCACCATTGGGCTCCATTGGGTTCCATTGGGTTCCATGAAGCTCCATTGGGCTCTATTGGGCTCCACTGGGTTTCCTTGGGCTCCATTGGGTTCCATTGACCTCCATTGGGTGCCATTGGGTTCCCTTGGGATCCATTGGGCTCTATTGACCTCCATTGGGTGCCATGGGGTTCCCTTGGCTCCATTGGGCTCATTGGGCTCCATTGGGCAACATTGGGTGCCATTGTGCTCCACTGGGCTCTATTGGGTTCCAATGGGTGCCATTGGGCTCCATTGGGCACCACTGGGCTCTATTGGGATCCATTGGGTTCCATTGGGCTCCATTGGGCTCACTGGGCTCTATTGGGTTCCATTGTGTTCCCTTGGGCTCCATTGGGCTCCATTGGGTGCCATTGGGCTCCATTGGGTTCCCTTGGCCTCCATTGGGCTCTATTGGGCTCCACTGGGTTCCCTTGGTCTCCACTGGGTTCCATTGGCCTCCATTGGGTGCCACTGGGTTCCCTTGGACACCATTGGGTGCCATGGGGTTCCCTTGGGAGCCATTGAGTTCCCTTCTTCTCCACTGGGCTCCATTGGGCTCCACTGGGTGCCATGGGGTTCCCTTGGGAGCCATGGGGTTCCCTTGGCTCCACTGGGCTCATTGGGCTCCATTGAGCTCCACTGGGCTCTATTGGGATCCACTGGGTGCCATTGGGATCCATTGGGCTCCACTGGGTTCCCTTGGGCTCCATTGGGCTCCACTGGGCTCTATTGGGATCCATTGGGCTCCATTGGGTGCCATTGGGCTCCATTGGGTGCTATTGGGCTCTATTGGGCTCCATTGGGTTCCCTTGGGCTCCATTGGGCTCCACTGGCCTCCATTGGGTTCCATGGGGCGCCATTGGGTTCCATTAGGCTCCATTGGGCTCCATTGATCTCCATTGGGCACCACTGGGCTTCACTGAGCTGTGTGTCCCCCCTTCCACCCCATAACCCCTCAATGCGTGTGGGGGGAATCACCTTTCGCTCTATGGTCCTCCTCTTTGGGGCAATGCCCCCCTTCCCACCACTTCCTCTTGAGGATCTCCAAGCGGTTGTTCTCCTGCAGCTGCAGGATGGCCAAGGTGATCTCATCGCGGAACGGGGACCCTATGGAAGAGCGCCCATGGGGGGGGCGATGGGTCTCCCGTGTTGAAGGTGGAGACCTCACCCCAACACTGGTGCGTGGGTCTTCTGTTGGCCGTGTGTCCCCCCCCATACCCAATGGCATGCCGATGCCATAGCCCTTGGTGTCCAGCAGCCCCCCGATCTGGGTCAGGTTGCAGTTGTGGCGCCGGTGGTACTCGTTCATGGTGGACTCCAAGAGGAAGGCGTACTTGGAGTTGAGGACGCGGGCGATCCCTTCCTCCGTGCTCTTGACGAAGACGCTGGGCTGCTTGGACTGCATGTAGTTCCACATGCGCTGGTAGGTCTGGTACCGCGAGTTCTGCGGTGGAACGGGGTTGGGGGGGGGGATGTGGTGGGTCTAGGTTGGGTTGGGTTGGATGGGTTGGGTTGGATGGGTTGCTCTAGGTTGAGTTGGGTTGGGTTGGATGGGTTGCGTTGGATGGGTTGGGTTGGATGGGTTGATCTAGGTTGAGTTGGGTTGGATAGGTTGGGTTGGATGGGTTGGATGGGTTGGGTTGGATGGGTTGCTCTAGGTTGAGTTGGGTTGGGTTGGATGGGTTGCGTTGGATGGGTTGGGTTGGATGGGTTGATCTAGGTTGGGCTGGGTTGGATGGGTTGGGTTGGATGGGTTGGATGGGTTGATCTAGGTTGGTTTGGGTTGGATGGGTTGGGTTGGATGGGTTGATCTAGGTTGGGCTGGGTTGGATGGGTTGATCTAGGTTGGTTTGGGTTGGATGGGTTGATCTAGGTTGGGTTGGGTTGGTTGATCTAGGTTGGGTTGGGTTGGATGGGTTGGATGGGTTCGATGGGTTGATCTAGGTTGGGTTGGGTTGGTTGATCTAGGTTGGGCTGGGTTGGATGGGTTCGATGGGTTGATCTAAGTTGGGTTGGGTTGGTTGGGTTGATCTAGGTTGGGTTGGGTTGAATGGGTTGGGTTGGATGGGTTGAGTTGGCTTGGATGGGTTGGGTTGGATGGGTTGGGATGGGTTGGGTTGCATGGGTTGATCTAGGTTGGGTTGGGTTGGATGGGTTTGGTTGGATGGGTTGATCTGGTTGGGTTGGATGGGTTGGGATGGGTTGGGTTGGATGGGTTGGGATGGGTTGGGTATGTATAGGTTGGGTTGGGTTGGATGGGTTGCTTTGGGTTGAGTTGGGTTGATCCAGGTTGAGTTGGGTTGGATGTGTGGGGTATATATAGGTTGGGTTGGATGGGTTGGGTTGGGTTGGACGGGTTGGGATGGGTTGAATGGGTTGGGTTGGGATGGGTTGAGATGGGTTGGATGGGTTGAGATGGGTTGATCTAGGTTGGGTTGGGTTGGATGGATTGGGTTTGGTTGGATGGATAGGATTAGATGGGTTAGGTTGGATGGCTTGGGTTGGATGGCTTGATCTATGTTGGGTTGGGTTGGATGGGTTGGGTCGATCTGGGTTGGGTTGATCTAGTTTGGGTTGGGTTGGATGGGTTGGGTTGAATGGATTGATCTAGGTTGGGTTGGGTTGGGTTGATGTGGGTTGGATGGATTGGGTTGGGATGGGTTGGATGGGTTGAGTTGGATGGGTTGGGTTGGATGGGTTGGGACGGGATGGATTGGGTTGGATGGGTTGATCTAGGTTGGGTTGGGTTGGATGGGTTGGGTTGATCTGGGTTGGGTTGGGTTGATGTGGGTTGGATGGATTGGGTTGGGATGGGTTGGATGGGTTGGGTTACATGGGTTGGGTTGGATGGGTTGATCTAGGTTGGGTTGATGTGGGTTGAGTTGGAAGGTTTGGATTGGTCCAGGTTGGATTGAGCTGGGTTGAGCTGGATGTGTTGGGTTGATCCAGGTCGGGTTGAGATGAGTCCATCCAAGTTGGGTTGGATGAGATGGATTGATCCAGGTTGCGTTGAGCTGGATGTGTTGGGTTGATCCATGTAGGGTTGGGTTGGGTTGGGTTGACGTGGGTTGATCCAGGTTGCGTTGGATGGGTTGGGATGAGTTGAGCTGGATTGATCCATGTTGGGTTGGATGAGATGGGTTGGGTTGAGCTGGGTGGATCCATGTTGGGTTGGATGGGTTGGATGGGATGGGGTGATCCAGGTTGGGTGGGGTTGGACGTGCTAGGTTGATCCATGTTGGGTTGGATGGGATGGGTTGGGATGAGGTGGGCTGATCCATGTTGGGTTGGGTTGGGTTGAGCTAGGTTGACCCATGTTGGGTTGGGGTGAGCTGGGTTGACCCGTGTTGGGTTGGGTTGACCCAGGTTGGGTTGGGTTTAATTGCCCCAGGTTGCCCCATGTTGGGTTGGGTTGGATTGATCCAGGTTGCCCCACATTGGGTTGGGTTGGAATGACCCATGTTGGGTTGGGTTGGATTGACCCGGGTTGAGTTGGATTGACCCGGGTTGGGTTGGATTGACCGGGGTTGGGTTGGGTTGGGTTGGGTTGGATTGACCCAGGTTGCCCCACGTTGGGTTGGGTTGGAATGACCCATGTTGACCCATGTTGGGTTGAGTTGGATTGACCCAGGTTGGGTTGAATTTACCCAGGTTGGGTTGGGTTGGGTTGGGTTGGATTGACCCGGGTTGCCCCACGTTGGGTTGGGTTGGAATGACCCATGTTGACCCATGTTGGGTTGAGTTGGATTGACCCAGGTTGGGTTGGATTTACCCAGGTTGGGTTGGGTTGGGTTGGGTTGGATTGACACAGGTTGCCCCATGTTGGGTTGGGTTGGGTTGGATTGACCCAGGTTGGGTTGGGTTGGGTTGGATTGACCCAGGTTGCCCCATGCTGGGTTGGGTTGGGTTGCCCCAGATTGGGTTGGGTTGGGTTGACCCAGGTTGCCCCATGTTGGGTTGGATTGACCCAGGTTAGGTTGTTTTGGGTTGGATTGACCTGGGTTGGGTTGGGTTGGGTTGAGTTGAGCCAGGTTGCCCCATGTTGAGTTGGGTTGGGTTGGATTGACACAGGTTGCCCCATGTTGGGTTGGGTTGGATTGACTCGGGTTGCCCCATGTTGGGTTGGGTTGGGTTGACCCAGGTTGCCCCATGTTGGGTTGGGTTGACCCCGGTTGCCCCATGTTGGGTTGGATTGACCCAGGTTGGGTTGGGTTGGGTTGGATTGACCCAAGTTGGGTTGGGTTGGGTTGGATTGACCCAGGTTGCCCCGTGTTGGGTTGGATTGACCCATGTTGGGTTGTGTTGGGTTGGATTGACCCAGGTTATTTTGGGTTGGGTTGGATTGACTTGGGTTGGGTTGGGTTGACCCCAGTTGCCACATGTTGGGTTGGAGTGGCCCATGTTGGGTTGGGTTGGGTTGGATTGACCCGGGTTGCCCCATGTTGGGTTGGGTTGACCCAGGTTGCCACATGTTGGGTTGGGTTGGGTTGGGTTGCCCCGGGTTGCCCCATGTTGCCCCATGTTCAGTTGGATTGACCCAGGTTGGGTTGACCCGGGTTGGGTTGGGTTGGGTTGGACTGACCCAGGTTGCCCCATGTTGGGTTGGATTGACCCAGGTTGGGTTGGGTTGGGTTGGGTTGACCCAGGTTGCCCCATGTTGGGTTGGATTGACCCAGGTTGGGTTGGGTTGGGTTGGATTGACCCAGGTTGCCCCATGTTGGGTTGGATTGACCCATGTTGGGTTGGGTTGGGTTGCATTGACCCGGGTTGGGTTGGGTTGGATTGACCCAGGTTGCCCCATGTTGGGTTGGGTTGGATTGACCCGGGTTGGGTTGGGTTTGATTGACCCAGGTTGCCCCATGTTGGGTTGGATTGACCCCGGTTGCCCCATGTTGGGTTGAGTTGGATTGACCCGTGTTGGGTTGGGTTGGGTTGACCCACGTTGCCCCATGTTGGGTTGGATTGACCCAGGTTGGGTTGGGTTGGGTTGGATTGACCTGGGTTGGGTTGGGTTGGGTTGACCCCGGTTGCCCCATGTTGGGTTGGATTGACCCAGGTTGGGTTGGGTTGGATTGACCCAGGTTGCCCCATGTTGGGTTGGGTTGACCCCGATTGCCCCATGTTGGGTTGGATTGACCCAGGTTGGGTTGGGTTGGGTTGGATTGACCCAGGTTGCCCCATGTTGGGTTGGATTGACCCAGGTTGGGTTGGGTTGGATTGACCCAAGTTGCCCCATGTTGGGTTGGATTGACCCCGGTTGCCCCATGTTGGGTTGAGTTGGATTGACCCGGGTTGGGTTGGGTTGGGTTGACCCAGGTTGCCCCACGTTGGGTTGGGTTGGATTGACCCATGTTGGGTTGGGTTGGGTTGACCCACGTTGCCCCATGTTGGGTTGGATTGACCCAGGTTGGGTTGGGTTGGGTTGGATTGACCTGGGTTGGGTTGGGTTGGGTTGACCCCGGTTGCCCCATGTTGGGTTGGATTGACCCAGGTTGGGTTGGGTTGACCCAGGTTGGGTTGGGTTGGGTTGGATTGACCCAGGTTGCCCCATGTTGGGTTGGATTGACCCAGGTTGGGTTGGGTTGGATTGACCCAGGTTGCCCCATGTTGGGTTGGGTTGACCCCGATTGCCCCATGTTGGGTTGGATTGACCCAGGTTGGGTTGGGTTGGGTTGGATTGACCCAGGTTGCCCCATGTTGGGTTGGATTGACCCAGGTTGCCCCATGTTGGGTTGGGTCGACCCCGATTGCCCCATGTTGGGTTGGATTGACGCAGGTTGGGTTGGGTTGGGTTGGATTGCCCCCGGTTGCCCCATGCTGGGTTGGGTTGGGTTGGATTGACCCAGATCACCCCAATCCCCCCCCTCCCCTCCTTCCCCCACCCCCCCTGAGCCCCACACCTGGAAGAAGGTCATGGTGGACCCGGCATGGATCGTGCCATACTCGATGTTGGTCTGATCGGCCAAGTCATCGGCCGACTCGATGGGCACCTCCATGCGCTGCACCGTCAGGAAGGCCGCCAGGTTGGCCGTGTACGACGAGATGATGATGAGGGTGAAGGCCCACCTACGGCGACACCATGACGGGGTTGGGGGGGGGGGGGTGACACGGAGGGCTCATTTCATGCGTCAACCCCCCCCCCCCAATCCCACCCCATAGTCGCTATGGGGCTCACCAGACGCCGCTGACGCAGCGGGTGGACAACGCGCGCGGCATGATCTCGGAGCCCTGCTGCATGAAGCCGCCGACGGGGAACCAGAGGCTGTTGCCCAACGTGTATTGGTTCTCTAGAAGGTTCCGGCGCTCCCGTAGGCACGGGTGGGGGTTGTACCACTCGTAGGGGCTCAGCCTGTTGGGGGGTGGGATGTGGGGCGGGATGTGGGGCGGGGGGGGGGAATGGAGAGGGTAAGGGGGGCTTCTGTAGTGCTCCAATCGCCATCGTTGACCTCAATGGGAGGTCCTTGAACCCCATCGTTGACCCCAATGGGTGCTCCTTGAACCCCATCGTTGACCCCAATGGGTGCTCCTTGAACCCCATCGTTGACCCCAATGGGTGCTCCAAGACACCTCAAACCCCAATGGGAGGTCCTTGAACCCCATTGTTGACCCCAATGGGTGCTCCTTGGGGCACCAAACCCCATCGTTGACCCCAATGGGTGCTCCAGGACCACCAAACCCCATCATTGACCCCAATGGGTGACACTGGAGCTCCAAATCCCATCGTTGACCCAATGGGTGCTCCTTGAACCCCATCACTGACCCCAATGGGTGCTCCTTGAACCCCATCATTGACCCCAATGGGTGCTCCTTGAACCCCATCATTGACCCCAATGGGAGCTCCTTGAACCCCATCATTGACCCCAATGGGTGCTCCTTGAACCCCATCATTGACCCCAATGGGTGCTCCTTGAACCCCATCGTTGACCCCAATGGGTGCTCCAGGACCCCCAAACTCCATCATTGACCCCAATGGGTGCTCCAGGACCCCCAAACTCCATCATTGACCCCAATGGGTGCTCCTTGAACCCCATCGTTGACCCCAATGGGTGCTCCAGGACCCCCAAACCCCATCATTGACCCCAATGGGTGCTCCTTGAACCCCATCGTTGACCCCAATGGGTGCTCCAGGACCACCAAACCCCATCATTGACCCCAATCGGTGCTCCTTGAACCCCATCGTTGACCCCAATGGGTGCTCCAGGACCCCCAAACCCCATCATTGACCCCAATCGGTGCTCCTTGAACCCCATCGTTGACCCCAATGGGTGCTCCAGGACCCCCAAACCCCATCATTGACCCCAATCGGTGCTCCTTGAACCCCATCGTTGACCCCAATGGGTGCTCCAGGACCCACAAACCCCATCATTGACCCCAATGGATGCTCCTTGAACCCCATCGTTGACCCCAATGGGTGCTCCAGGACCCCCAAACCCCATCATTGACCCCAATGGGTGCTCCTTGAACCCCATCGTTGACCCCAATGGGTGCTCCAGGACCTCCAAAAACCATCATTGACCCCAATGGGTGCTCCTTGAACCCCATCGTTGACCCCAATGGGTGCTCCAGGACCCCCAAACCCCATCATTGACCCCAATGGGTGCTCCAGGACCCTCAAACTCCATCATTGACCCCAATGAGTGCTCCTTGAACCCCATCACTGACCCCAATGGGTGCTCCTTGAACCCCATCATTGACCCCAATGGGTGCTCCTTGAACCTCATCATTGACCCCAATGGGTGCTCCTTGAACCCCATCATCGACCCCAATGGGAGCTCCTTGAACCTCATCATTGACCCCAATGGGTGCTCCTTGAACCCCATCATTGACCCCAATGGGAGCTCCTTGAACCCCATCACTGACCCCAATGGGTGCTCCTTGAACCCCATCATTGACACCAATGGGTGCTCCTTGAACCCCATCATTGACCCCAATGGGAGCTCCTTGAACCCCATCATTGACCCCAATGGGTGCTCCTTGAACCCCATCATTGACCCCAATGGGTGCTCCTTGAACCCCATCGTTGACCCCAATGGGTGCTCCAGGACCCCCAAACTCCATCATTGACCCCAAAGGGTGCTCCAGGACCCCCAAACTCCATCATTGACCCCAATGGGTGCTCCTTGAACCCCATCGTTGACCCCAATGGGTGCTCCAGGACCCCCAAACCCCATCATTGACCCCAATGGGTGCTCCTTGAACCCCATCGTTGACCCCAATGGGTGCTCCAGGACCACCAAACCCCATCATTGACCCCAATCGGTGCTCCTTGAACCCCATCGTTGACCCCAATGGGTGCTCCAGGACCCCCAAACCCCATCATTGACCCCAATGGGTGCTCCTTGAACCCCATTGTTGACCCCAATGGGTGCTCCAGGACCCCCAAACCCCATCATTGACCCCAATGGATGCTCCTTGAACCCCATCGTTGACCCCAATGGGTGCTCCAGGACCCCCAAACCCCATCATTGACCCCAATGGGTGCTCCTTGAACCCCATCGTTGACCCCAATGGGTGCTCCAGGACCCCCAAACCCCATCATTGACCCCAATGGGTGCTCCTTGAACCCCATCGTTGACCCCAATGGGTGCTCCAGGACCCCCAAACCCCATCATTGACCCCAATGGGTGCTCCAGGACCCCCAAACTCCATCATTGACCCCAATGGGTGCTCCTTGAACCCCATCGTTGACCCCAATGGGTGCTCCAGGATCCCCAAACCCCATCATTGACCCCAATGGGTGCTCCTTGAACCCCATCGTTGACCCCAATGGGTGCTCCTTGAACCCCATCACTGACCCCAATGGGTGCTCCTTGAACCCCATCATTGACCCCAATGGGTGCTCCTTGAACCTCATCATTGACCCCAATGGGTGCTCCTTGAACCCCATCATCGACCCCAATGGGAGCTCCTTGAACCTCATCATTGACCCCAATGGGTGCTCCTTGAACCCCATCATTGACCCCAATGGGAGCTCCTTGAACCCCATCATTGACCCCAATGGGAGCTCCTTGAACCCCATCATTGACCCCAATGGGCGCTCCTTGAACCCCATCGTTGACCCCAATGGGTGCTCCAAGACACCCCAAACCCCATCATTGACCCCAATGGCTGCTCCTTGAACCCCATCAGCGACCCCAATGGGTGCTCCTTGAACTCCATCACTGACCCCAATGGGTGCTCCTTGAACCCCATCGTTGACCCCAATGGGTGCTCCAGGACCACCAAACCCCATCATTGACCCCAATGGGTGCTCCAGGACCCCCAAACTCCATCATTGACCCCAATGGGTGCTCCTTGAACCCCATCGTTGACCCCAATGGGTGCTCCAGGATCCCCAAACCCCATCATTGACCCCAATGGGTGCTCCTTGAACCCCATCGTTGACCCCAATGGGTGCTCCTTGAACCCCATCACTGACCCCAATGGGTGCTCCTTGAACCCCATCATTGACCCCAATGGGTGCTCCTTGAACCTCATCATTGACCCCAATGGGTGCTCCTTGAACCCCATCATCGACCCCAATGGGAGCTCCTTGAACCTCATCATTGACCCCAATGGGTGCTCCTTGAACCCCATCATTGACCCCAATGGGAGCTCCTTGAACCCCATCATTGACCCCAATGGGAGCTCCTTGAACCCCATCATTGACCCCAATGGGCGCTCCTTGAACCCCATCGTTGACCCCAATGGGTGCTCCAAGACACCCCAAACCCCATCATTGACCCCAATGGCTGCTCCTTGAACCCCATCATTGACCCCAATGGGTGCTATTTGAACCCCATCGTTGACCCCAATGGGAGCTCCTTGAACTCCATCACTGACCCCAATGGGTGCTCCTTGAACCCCATCGTTGACCCCAATGGGTGCTCCTTAAACCCCATCGTTGACCCCAATGGGTGCTCCTTGAACCCCATCGTTGACCCCAATGGGTGCTCCAGGACCCCCAAAAACCATCATTGACCCCAATGGGTGCTCCTTGAACCCCATCGTTGACCCCAATGGGTGCTCCAGGACCCCCAAACCCCATCATTGACCCCAATGGGTGCTCCTTGAACCCCATCGTTGACCCCAATGGGTGCTCCAGGACCACCAAACCCCATCATTGACCCCAATCGGTGCTCCTTGAACCCCATTGTTGACCCCAATGGGTGCTCCAGGACCCCCAAACCCCATCATTGACCCCAATGGATGCTCCTTGAACCCCATCGTTGACCCCAATGGGTGCTCCAGGACCCCCAAACCCCATCATTGACCCCAATGGGTGCTCCTTGAACCCCATCGTTGACCCCAATGGGTGCTCCAGGACCCCCAAACCCCATCATTGACCCCAATGGGTGCTCCTTGAACCCCATCGTTGACCCCAATGGGTGCTCCAGGACCCCCAAACCCCATCATTGACCCCAATGGGTGCTCCAGGACCCCCAAACTCCATCATTGACCCCAATGGGTGCTCCTTGAACCCCATCGTTGACCCCAATGGGTGCTCCAGGATCCCCAAACCCCATCATTGACCCCAATGGGTGCTCCTTGAACCCCATCGTTGACCCCAATGGGTGCTCCTTGAACCCCATCACTGACCCCAATGGGTGCTCCTTGAACCCCATCATCGACCCCAATGGGAGCTCCTTGAACCTCATCATTGACCCCAATGGGTGCTTCTTGAACCCCATCATTGACCCCAATGGGAGCTCCTTGAACCCCATCATTGACCCCAATGGGAGCTCCTTGAACCCCATCATTGACCCCAATGGGCGCTCCTTGAACCCCATCGTTGACCCCAATGGGTGCTCCAAGACACCCCAAACCCCATCATTGACCCCAATCGGTGCTCCTTGAACCCCATCGTTGACCCCAATGGGTGCTCCTTGAACCCCATCATTGACCCCAATGGGTGCTCCTTGAACCCCATCGTTGACCCCAATGGGTGCTCCAGGACCCCCAAACCCCATCATTGACCCCAATGGGTGCTCCTTGAACCCCATCGTTGACCCCAATGGGTGCTCCAGGACCCCCAAACCCCATCATTGACCCCAATGGGTGCTCCTTGAACCCCATCGTTGACCCCAATGGGTGCTCCAGGACCCCCAAACCCCATCGTTGACCCCAATGGGTGCTCCAGGATCTCCTATTGGGGTGCTATTATGGGATATCCCTATTGAGGGTCATTATGGGATATCCCTATTGGGGTTCTATTATGGGATGTCCCTATTGGGGTGCATTATGGGATGTCCCTGTTATGCTTCATTTCAGGATGCCCCTATTGAGTGCTATTATGGGATGCCCCTATTGGGTGCTATTATAGGATATCTCTATTGAGGGTCATTATGGGATGTCTCTATTGGGTGCTATTATGGGGTGTCCCTATTGGGGTGCATTATGGGATATCCCTATTGAGGTTCATTATGGGATGTCTCTACTGGGTGCTATTATGGGATGTCCCTATTGAGTGCTATTATGGGATATCCCAATTGAGGGTCATTATGGGATGTCCCTATTGAGGTTCTTTTATGGGCTGTCCCTGCTGGGGTGCATTATGGGATGTCCTTATAAGGCTTCATTATGGGATGCCCCTCTTGGGGTGCATTATGGGATGTCCCTATTGGGTGCTATTATAGGATATCTCTATTGAGGGTCATTATGGGATGTCTCTATTGGGTGCTATTATGGGATGTCTATATTGGGGTGCATTATTGGATGTCCCTATTAGGCTTCATTATGGGATGTCCCTATTGGGGTGTATTACGGGATGTCCCAGCTGGGGTGCATTATGGGATGTCCCTATAAGGCTTCATTATGGGATGCCCCTATTGAGTGTTATTATGGGATGTCCCTTTTGGGGTGCATTATTGGATGTCTATATGGGGGTGCTATTATGGGATATCCCTATTGGGTGCTGTTATAGGATATCCCCATTGAGGTTCATTACGGGATGTCCCTGCTGGGTGCTATTATGGGATGCCCCTCTTGGGGTGCATTATGGGATGTCTATACGGGGGTGCTATTATGGGATATCCCTATTGAGGTTCATTATGGGATGCCCCTGCTGGGGTGCTATTATGGGATGTCCCTATTGGGGTGCATTACTGGATGTCTATATCGGGGTACTATTATGGGATATCCCCATTGAGGTTCATTACAGGATGCCCCTATTGGGGTGCTATTATGGGATGTCCCTATTGGGGTGCATTACTGGATGTCTATATCAGGGTGCTATTATGGGATATCCCTATTGAGGTGCATTACGGGATGCCCCTCCTGTGGTGCTATTATGGGATGTCCCTATTGGGGTGCATTACTGGATGTCTATATCAGGGTACTATTATGGGATATCCCCATTGAGGTTCACTACGGGATGCCTCTACTGGGTGCTATTATGGGATGTCCCTATTGGGGTGCATTACTGGATGTCTATATCGGGGTACTATTATGGGATATCCCCACTGAGGTTCATTACGGGATGCCCCTCCTGTGGTGCTATTATGGGATGTCCCTATTGGGGTGCATTACTGGATGTCTATATCGGGGTACTATTATGGGATATCCCCACTGAGGCTCATTACGGGATGCCCCTCCTGTGGTGCTATTATGGGATGTCCCTATTGGGGTGCATTATTGGATGTCTATATCGGGGTGCTATTATGGGATATCCCCATTGAGGTTCATTATGGGATGCCTCTACTGGGGTGCTATTATGGGATGTCCCTATTGGGGTGCATTACTGGATGTCTATATCAGGGTGCTATTATGGGATATCCCCATTGAGTTTCACTACGGGATGCCCCTACTGGGGTGCTATTATGGGATGTCCCTACCGGGGCGCATCACCTGGCAGCCAAGAAGAGGACGCAGCTCACGGCCAGGTAGGCGAGGAGCATGAAGAACCACACCGCTGGCGAGAAGGGGTCTAGGAAGGAGAAATACCCCGGCTTGCGGCCCTGTGGGGACACGGCATGAGACCCCCATGGTGGCACCCATGTGCGGCTCCCCCCTTCTCCCCCTACGGACCCCCATGGCCCTACCCCGTACCATGTGCACCCGGTAGAGGATGCTGATCCCCAGCGTCATGAAGGGCTTCGAGAAGTCGATGACCTTCTCCCGCTCCGCCGTGATGGTGAAGGCGGCCACGGCCAGGTCGGCTTTCTATGGGGTGGGACACACACAGTGGGGGGCATGGAAGGGGGTGCCCCAAGGCAACCCCAAAACCCCCTATTAAATGGTCCAAGAAACCCCAAAGTCCCCTAAGATGCCCTCAAACCCTCTTAAGAATTGCCCTCAAACTCCATATGATGCCCTCAATCCCCCTTAAGATGCCCCCAAGCCCACCTAAGACGCCCTCAATCCCCATAAGATGCCCTCAAACCCACTTAAGATGCCCTCAACCCCTCCAAGATGACCTCAAAACCCCCTATTTTGCACACCAACTCCCATAAGATGCCCCCAAAGCCCCCTAAGATGCACTCAAACACCCCTAAGATGCCCCCAAACCCCATAAGATGCCCTCAAAGCCCCCTAAGATGCCCTCAAATCCCCCTAAGATGCCCCCAAACCCATTAAGATGCCCTCAAACCCACTTAAAATGCCCTCACCCCCCCCTAAGGTGCCCTCAAGCCCAAAAAGATGCCCTCAATCCCCCTTAAGATGCCTTCAACCCTCCCTAAGATGCCCAAAACCTCATAAGATGCCCTCAACCCCCCCTAAGATGCCCTCAAACCCCCATAAGATGCCCTCAAACCCCCTTAACATGCCCTCAAACCCCCTTAAGATGCCCCCAAACCCCCCTTAAGATGCCCTCAAACCCCATAAGATGCCCTCAACCCCGATAAGATGCCCTCAAACCTCCTAATATGCACACAAACGCCCATAAGATGCCCCCAAAACCCCCTAAGATGCCCTCAAACCTCCAGAAGATGCCCCCAAACCCCCATAAGATGCCCCCAAAACCCCCTAAGATGCCCTCAAACCCCCATAAGATGCCCTCAAACCCCCCTAAGATGCCCTCAAACCCCCATAAGATGCCCTCAAACCCCCTTAAGATGCCCTCAAATCCCCTTAAGATGCCCCCAAACCCCCCTTAAGATGCCCTCAAACCCCGTAAGATGCCCTCAAACCCCATAAGATGCCCTCAACCCCGATAAGATGCCCTCAAACCCCCTAATATGCATACAAACGCCCATAAGATGCCCCCAAACCCCCATATGATGCCCTCAAACCCCTACAAGATGCCCTCAGACCCGATAAGATGCCCTCAAACACCCTAATATGCACACAAACTCCCATAAGATGCCCCCAAACCCCCATATGAGGCCCTCAAACCCCTACAAGATGCCCTCAAACCCCCATAAGATGCCCTCAAACCCCATAAGATGCCCCCAAACCCATACTAAATGCCCCCAACCCCCCTAAGATGCCCTCAAACCCCCATAAAATGCCCTCAAACCCCCATAAGATGCCCACAAACCCCCATAAGATGCCCTCAAACCCCCATAAGATACCCTCCAGATCCCCCCCCCGGGCCCCCGTTGCCCCCCATACCCTATTGATGAGCTCTCCCACCATGCCGGTCCAGGACCCATTGGGCTCGGGGGCCCCATAGAGCCCGTCCTCCACCAGCTTGATGTGGAAGCGGAACTTGAGGAGCCCGGCCAGCTCCTGCAGCATGTCCACGCAGAAGCCCTCATAGCGCTCGGGGCCGCCCGCGCCCCCCACCCGCATCACGTAGGGGTTCTCCTATGGGGTGGGATTGGGAAGGGATGGGGACGGGCATGGGATAGGGAGGATGGAGAGGTTGGAGCGATGGGGAAGGCAAGAGGGAGGCAATGGAGAGCACAAAGGGGATTCCAGTGGAGAACCCAAGAGGAACCCAATGGAGAACCCAAGAGGAACCCAATGGAGAGCCCAAGAGGAACCCAATCGAGAATCCAAGAGGAACCCAATGGAGAGCCCAATGGAGATACCCCATGAGATCGCAATGGAGAGCACAAAGGGGAACCCAATGGAGAACCCAAGAGGAACCCAATGGAGAGCCCAATGGAGATACCCCATGAGATCACAATGGAGAGTACAAAGGGGAACCCAATGGAGAGCCCAAGAAGAACCCAATGGAGAATCCAAGAGGAACCCAATGGAGAACCCAAGAGGAACCCAATGGAGAACCCAAGAGGAACCCAATGGAGAGCCCAAGAGGAACCCAATGGAGAACCCAAGAGGAACCCAATGGAGAACCCAAGAGGAACCCAATGGAGAATCCAAGAGGAACCCAATGGAGAACCCAAGAGGAACCCAATGGAGAGCCCAAGAGGAACCCAATGGAGAACCCAAGAGGAACCCAATGGAGAACCCAATGGAGATATCCCATGAGATCTCAATGGAGAACCCAAGAGGAACCCAATGGAGAGCCCAGTGGAGATACCCCATGAGATCGCAATGGGGAACCCAAGAGGAACCCAATGGAGAACCCAATGGAGATACCCCATGAGATCGCAATGGAGAGCACAAAGGGGAACCCAAGGGAGAACCCAAGAGGAACCCAATGGAGAACCCAATGGAGATACCCCCCATGAGATCGCAATGGAGAACCCAAGAGGAACCCAATGGAGAACCCAATGGAAATACCCCACGAGATCTCAATGGAGAGCACAAAGGGGAACCCAAGGGAGAACCCAAGAGGAACCCAATGGAGAGCCCAAGAGGAACCCAATGGAGAACCAAAGAGGAACCCAATGGAGAACCAAACAGGAACCCAATGGAGAACCCAAGAGGAACCCAATGGAGAGCCCAATGGAGATACCCCATGAGATCACAATGGAGAACCCGAGAGGAACCCAATGGAGAACCCAATGGAGATACCCCATGAGATTGCAATGGAGAGCACAAAGGGGAACCCAATGGAGAAGCCAAGAGGAACCCAATGGAGAGCCCAAGAGGAACCCAATGGAGAACCAAAGAGGAACCCAATGGAGAACCAAACAGGAACCCAATGGAGAACCCAAGAGGAACCCAGTGGAGAGCCCAATGGAGATACCCCCTAAGACTGCAATGGAGAGCACAAAGAGGAACCCAATGGAGAACCCAAGAGGAACCAAATGGAGAGCCCAATGGAGATACCCCATGAGATCGCAATGCAGAGCACAAAGGGGAACCCAATGGAGAACCCAAGAGGAACCCAATGGGGAGCCCAATGGAGATACCCCATGAGATCACAATGGAGAGCACAAAGGGGAACCCAATGGAGAACCCAAGAGGAACCCAATGGAGAGCCCAAGAGGAACCCAATGGAGAACCCAATGGAGATACCCCATGAGATCGCAATGGAGAACCCGAGAGGAACCCAATGGAGAACCCAATGGAGATACCCCATGAGATTGCAATGGAGAGCACAAAGGGGAACCCAATGGAGAAGCCAAGAGGAACCCAATGGAGAAGCCAAGAGGAACCCAATGGAGAGCCCAAGAGGAACCCAATGGAGAACCAAAGAGGAACCCAATGGAGAGCCCAGTGGAGATACCCCATGAGATCACAATGGGGAGCACAAAGGGGATCCCAGTGGAGAGCCCAAGAGGAACCCAATGGAGAGCCCCATGGAGATACCCCATGAGATCGCAATGGGGAACCCAAGAGGAACCCAATGGAGAATCCAATGGACATACCCCATGAGATCGCAATGGAGAGCACAAAGGGGAACCCAAGGGAGAACCCAAGAGGAACCCAATGGAGAGCCCAAGAGGAACCCAATGGAGAACCCAATGGAGATACCCCATGAGATCGCAATGGAGAACCCGAGAGGAACCCAATGGAGAACCCAATGGAGATACCCCATGAGATTGCAATGGAGAGCACAAAGGGGAACCCAATGGAGAAGCCAAGAGGAACCCAATGGAGAAGCCAAGAGGAACCCAATGGAGAGCCCAAGAGGAACCCAATGGGGAACCAAAGAGGAACCCAATGGAGAATCCAAGAGGAACCCAGTGGAGAGCCCAATGGAGATACCCCCTAAGACTGCGATGGAGAGCACAAAGAGGAACCCAATGGAGAACCCAAGAGGAACCAAATGGAGAGCCCAATGGAGATACCCCATGAGATCGCAATGCAGAGCACAAAGGGGAACCCAATGGAGAACCCAAGAGGAACCCAATGGGGAGCCCAATGGAGGTACCCCGTGAGATCCCAATGGAGAACACAAGGACCCAATGGAGAACCCAAGGATGAGCCCAATGGAGAACCCAAGGATGAACCCAATGGAGAACCCAATGGTGAACCCAATGGAGACCCCAAGACGACCCCAATGGAGAACCCAAGGGTAAACCCAATGGACAACCCAATGGAGACCCCAAGACGACCCCAATGGAGAACCCAATGGAAAACCCAATGTAGAACCCAAGGATGAGCCCAATGGAGAACCCAATGGAGAACCCAATGGAGACCCAAAGACAACAACAATGGAGAAACCCAATGGACAACCTAATGGACAACCCAATGGATAACGCAAGGGTAAACCCAATGGACAACCCAATGGAGACCACAAGATGACCCCAATGGAGAACCCAATGGAGACCCCAAGACGACCCCAATGGAGAACCCAATGGAGAACCCAATGGAGAACCCAATGGAGACCCCAAGACCACCCCAATAGAAAGCCCAATGGACAACCCAATGGACAACCCAATGGAGACCCCAAGACGACCCAATGGAGAACCCAATGGTGAACCCAATGTAGAATCCAATGGAGAACCCAAGGGTGAACCCAATGGACAACCCAATGGAGACCCCAAGACGACCCCAATGGACAACCCAATGGAGAACCCAATGGACAACCCAATGGAGACCCCAAGATGACCCCAATGGACAACCCAATGGAGAACCCAATGGAGACCCCAAGATGACCCCAATGGACAACCCAATGGAGAACCCAATGGAGACCCCAATGAGACCCCAATGGACAACCCAACGGAGACCCCAAGACGATAGCAATGGAGAACCCAATGGAGACCCCAAGACGACCCCAATGGACAACCCAATGGACAACCCAATGGAGACCCCAAGATGACACCAATGGAGAACCCAATGGAGAACCCCAATGGACAACCCAACGGAGACCCCAAGACGACCCCAATGGAGAACCCAATGGACAACCCAATGGACAACCCAATGGAGACCCCAAGACGACCCCAATGGAGAACCCAATGGACAACCCAATGGACAACCCAATGGAGACCCCAAGATGACACCAATGGAGAACCCAATGGAGAACCCAATGGAGACCCCCAATGAGACCCCAATGGACAACCCAACGGAGACCCCAAGACGACAGCAATGGAGAACCCAATGGAGACCCCAAGACGACCCCAATGGACAACCCAATGGAGACCCCAAGATGACACCAATGGAGAACCCAATGGAGAACCCAATGGAGACCCCCAATGAGACCCCAATGGACAACCCAACGGAGACCCCAAGACGACAGCAATGGAGAACCCAATGGAGACCCCAAGACGACCCCAATGGACAACCCAATGGAGACCCCAAGACGACACCAATGGACAATCCAATGGAGACCCCAAGACGACCCCAATGGACAACCCAATGGACAACCCAATGGAGACCCCAAGACGACCCCAATGGACAACCCAATGGACAACCCAATGGAGACCCCAAGATGACACCAATGGAGAACCCAATGGACAACCCCAATGGACAACCCAACGGAGACCCCAAGACGACAGCAATGGAGAACCCAATGGAGACCCCAAGACGACCCCAATGGACAACCCAATGGAGACCCCAAGACGACACCAATGGACAATCCAATGGAGACCCCAAGACGACCCCAATGGACAACCCAATGGACAACCCAATGGAGACCCCAAGACGACCCCAATGGACAACCCAATGGACAACCCAATGGAGACCCCAAGATGACACCAATGGAGAACCCAATGGAGAACCCCAATGGACAACCCACCGGCCGCCCCACGCCGCCCCAATGGAAGACCCAATGCAACCAACGAAGACCCCGGTGACTTCTTCCCCCCCCCCCCCAGTTACTCCAGAGCCCCACCAGGACGCAGAAGCAGCCCCATAGACTGCCAACGGCCCCACCTCAATGGGCCTGCGCCCGCCCCACTCACGCCAGCCCCACTCACCAGGATGGTGGTGATGATGAGGGTCTTGTTGGCCAAGCTATCGGAGGCGTTGACGGCCAAGGTGGCGGCGTCCATGGCCAAGGTCCTATTGGAGTACCACACACCCACCTGTGGGGGGGGACGGGGACGGGGACGGGACCATGGGGCAGCCGTGGGGCAGCCGTGGGGCGGAAGTGGGGCGGAGGTGGGGCAGGCCTGACCTCGCGGTGCCCATCGCGCCCCTTCTCCAGCACGTGGAGGGTGTAGTTGGTCCTCTGGCCCTTGCTGTTGAACTCGATGCGCCCGGTCAAGCCATCGTACTCCACCTGTGGGGCGGGGGAACAGAGGTTGTGGGGCACCCCCAAAGCTGCCCCACACATGTGGGGATAGCTCCCGCGAAGGGTTCGGCGTCCTCCAAGGGGTGTTTTTTTGGACACTGTAGACCTCCATTGAGCCCCATAAGCAGCAGTTCAGCCCCAGAGCACCCATTGAGCCCCAGAGCCGCCCATTGAGCCCCATAGCACCAGTTCAGCCCCATAGCCACCCATTGATCCCCAGAGCCACCCATTGATCCCCATGGCCACCCACTGATGCCCATAGACCCCCATTGAGCCCCATACTGTCCCACTGAGCCCCATACTCCCCCATTGAACCCCATAGCACCACTTCAGCCCCATAGCCACCCACTGATCCCCATAGCCGCCCATTGATCCCCACTGAGCCCCATAGCCACCCATTGATCCCCATAGCACTACTTCAGCCCCATAGCCCCCACTGAGCCCCATACTCCCCCATTGAAACCCATAGCACCACTTCAGCCCCATAGCCACCCACTGAACCCCATAGCCACCCATTGATCCCCATAGGCACCCATTGATCCCCATAGCCCCCACTGAGCCCCATACTCCCCCACTGAACCCCATAGCACCACTTCAGCCCCACAGCCACCCATTGATCCCCATAGCCACGCACTGATGGCCATAGCACCCATTGATCCCCATACTCCCCCACTGAACCCCATAGCACCACTTCAGCCCCATAGCCACCCATTGATCCCCATAGCCACGCATTGATCCCCATTGAGCCCCACTGATCCCCATAGCCACCCACTGATCCCCATAGCACCACTTCAGCCCCATAGCCACCATTGAGCCCCATACTCCCCCATTGAAACCCATAGCACCACTTCCGCCCCATAGCCACCCACTGAACCCCGTAGTCACCCATTGATCCCTATAGCCCCCATTGAGCCCCATACTCCCCCATTGAACCCCATAGCACTACTTCAGCCCCATAGCCACCCATTGATCCCCAGAGCCACCCATTGATCCCCATAGCCTCCACTGAGCCCCATACTCCCCCATTGATCCCCATAGCCACACATTGAGCCCCATAGCCAGCCATTGAGCCCTACAGCCACTCATTGAGCCCCATAGCCTCCATTGAGCCCCATAGCCGCCCCATAGCCTCCATTGAGCCCCATACTCCCCCATTGAGCCCCATAGGCCCCCATTGAACCCCACAGCCACCCATTGATCCCCATACCCTCCATTGATCCCCAGAGCCACCCATTGATCCCCATTGACCTCCATTGAGCCCCATAGCCACCCATTGAGCCCCATAGCCTCCCTTGAGCCCCATTAGCCATCCATTGAACCCCATAGCCACCCATTGGTCCCCATAGCCTCCATTGAGCCCCATAGCCACCCATTGATCCCCAGAGCCACCCATTGAGCTCCATAGCCACCCATTGATCCCCATAGCCTCCATTGAGCCCCATAGCCACCCACTGAACCCCATAGCCGCCCCATAGCCGCCCCATAGCCGCCCCATAGGTGCCCCATAGGCCCCCATTGATCCCCATAGCCTCCATTGAACCCCATAGCCGCCCCATAGCCGCTCCATAGCCGCCCCATAGGTGCCCCATAGCCTCCATTGAGCCCCATAGGCCCCCATTGAACCCCATAGCACCAGTTCAGCCCCAGAGCCACCCACTGAGCCCCATAGCCTCCATTGAGCCCCATACTCCCCCATTGATCCCCATAGCCACCCATTGAGCCCCATAGCTACCCATTGAGCCCCATAGCCTCCATTGAGCCCCGTACTCCCCCATTGATCCCCATAGCATCCATTGAGCCCCATAGCCTCCATTGAGCCCCATACTTCCCCACTGAGCCCCATAGGCCCCCATTGAACCCCATAGGCCCTCATTGATCCCCATAGCCACCCATTGGTCCCCATAGCCTCCATTGAGCCCCATAGGCCCCCACTGAACCCCATAGCACCAGTTCAGCCCCATAGCCACCCATTAATCCCCATAGCCTCCATTGAGCCCCATACTCCCCCACTGAGCCCCACAGCCACCCATTGAACCCCATAGCCGCCCCATAGCCACCCATTGAATCCCATAGCCACCCACTGAACCCCACTGGCGCCCCATAGCTGCCCCATAGCCGCCCCATATCCGCCCCATAGCCCCCATAGCAGCCCCATAGCCACCCCATAGGCCCCCCATATCCGCCCCATAGCCGCCCCATATCCGCCCCATAGCCACCCATTGATCCCCATAGCTGCCCCATAGGCCCCCCATATCCGCCCCATAGGCCCCCATAGCCGCCCCATATCTGCCCCATAGGCCCCCATAGACGCCCCATAGCTGCCCCATAGCCACCCATTGATCCCCATAGCTGCCCCATAGGCCCCCCATATCAGCCCCATATCCGCCCCATAGGCCCCCCATATCCGCCCCATAGGCCCCCCATATCCGCCCCATATCCACCCCATATCCGCCCCATAGGCCCCCCATAGGCCCCCCATATCTGCCCCATATCCGCCCCATAGGCCCCCCATATCCGCCCCATATCCGCCCCATATCCGCCCCATATCCACCCCATAACCACCCCATATCCACCCCATATCCGCCCCATAGGCCCCCCATATCCGCCCCATATCCACCCCATATCCGCCCCATATCCACCCATATCCGCCCCATATCCACCCCATATCCGCCCCATAGCCGCCCCATATCCGCCCCATAGCTGCCGCACGGCGCTCACCATGCGCAGGTAGTTCATGAGGCTGGTGCCGGGGCCCAGATGCCCGGCGCGGCGCAGGCCAAGGCGCGACCTCCGACCTCCTGGCTCCGGTTGAGGGCGCGAACGGCGCCGACCACCACGTGCACGGCGTCGAAGAGGAGAGCGGCCGAGAGCTGGGGGGGGGAGGGGCATTGGGGGGGGGGGAGGGGCCATGGGGGGTGGGGGTGGGGAGGGGTGGGGATGGGGGGAGGAGATTGGATGTGGGGGGTGGGGGAAGGGATGTCATGGGGGGTGGGGGAGGGGAGAAGATGGGATGTGGGGGTGGGAAAGGGGAGGAGTGGGGTGGGATGCGATGGGGGGAGGGGTGGGATAGGGTGGGGGTTGGGGGAGGGGATGGGATGTGGGGGTGGGGGAGAGGAGAAGATGGGATATGGGGGTGGGAAAGGGGAGGGGTGGGGGGAGGGGTGGGATGGGGTGGGGGAGGGGAGGGATGGGGGTGGGGGAGGGGAGAAGATGGGATGGGGGGAGGGGTGGGGGAGGGGTGGGGGGGTGGGGGAGTGGTGGGATGGGGTGGGGGAGGGGAGGGATGGGATGTGGGGGGTGGGAAAGGGGAGGAGTGGGGTGGGATGCAATGGGGGGAGGGGTGGGATAGGGTGGGGGAGGGGAGGGGATGGGATGTGGGGTGGGAAATGGGAGGGGTGGGGGGAGGGGTGGGATAGGGTGGGGGAGGGGAGGGATAGGGTGGGGGTGGGGAGAAGATGGAATGTGGGGGTGGGATAGGGGAGGGGGGGAAGGGTTGGATGGGATATGGGAGGGGATGTAGGGGTTGGGGGAGGGGTGGGGGTGGGGAGGGATGGGGTGGGGGGGGACGGGTGGGATGGGGGAGGGGTGGGGTGGGGGTTGGGAGAGGGTTGGGATGGGGTGCGGGTGGGGATGTCATGAGGGGATGGGGGAGGGGAGAAGATGGGATGTGGGGGGTGGGGGGAGTTTAGCGGATGTGGGGTGGGGGGAGATGGAGAGACAGGATCTAGGTTCCCATTGGGTCTTGGTGTCCCCCATGGGTCTTGGCGTCGCCTATGGGGTTCTAGGTCTCCCATTGGGTCCTGGGGTCCCCCATTGGGTCTTGGTGTCCCCCATTGGCTTCCATGTCCCCCATAGGGTCTTGGCGTCCCCATTGGCTTCTAGGACTCCCATTGGGTCTTGGTGTCCCCCATTGTGTCTTGGTGTCTCCCATTGGGTCTTCGTGCCCCCAGTTGGATTCAAGGTCCCCCATAGGGTGTTGGTGTCCCTCATTGGGTCTCGGTGTCCCCCACTGGGTCTTGGGGTCTCCAATTGGGTCTTGGTTTCCTCCATTGAGTTCTAGGCCTTCCATTGGCTTCTAGTACCCCATTGGGTTTTGGTGTCCCCCAATGGGTCTTGGTGTCCCTCATTGGTTCTTGGTGTCCCTCATTGGGTCTTGCTGTCTCCCATTGACTTCTAGGTTCCCCATTGGGTCTTGGGGTTCCCCATTGAGTTCTAGACCGCCCATTGGGTCTTGGTGTCCCCATTGGCTTCTAGGTCCCCCACTGAGTTCTAGGCCCCTCATTGGGTCTTGGTGTCAACCATTGGGTCTTGGTGTCCCCCACTGGCTTCTAGGTCCCCCACTGAGTTCTAGGCCCCTCATTGGGTCTTGGTGTCAACCATTGGGTCTTGGTGTCCCCCACTGGCTTCTAGGTCCCCCATTGGCTTCAAGGCTCCCCATTGGGTCTTAGTGTCCCCCATTGGCTTCTAGGGCCCCCATTGGGTCTTGGTTGGTGTCCCCTATTGGGTCTTGGTGTCCCCCACTGGCTTCTAGGTCCCCATTGATCTCTAGGGCCCCATTGGGTCTCGGTGTCCCCCATTCTGTCTTGGGGTCCCCCACTGGGTCTTGGTGTCCCCCATTGGGTCTTGGAGTCCCCCATTGGCTTCTAGGTCCCCCATTGAGTTCTAGGCTCCCATTGGGTCTTGGTGTCCCCCATTGGGTCTTGGTGTCTCCCATTGGGTCTTGGTGTCCCCCATTGGGTCTTGGTGCCCCCCATTGGCTTCTAGGTCCTCCATTGGCTTCAACGCCTTCCATTGGGTCTTGGCATCCCCCATTGGGTCTTGGTGTCTCCAATTGGGTCTTGGTATCTCCAATTGGCTCTTGGTGCCCCCCATTGATTTCTAGGCCCCCCATTGGGTCTTGGTGTCCCCCACTGGGTCTTGGTGTCCCCCATTGGCTTCTATGTCCCTCATTGGGTCTTGGTGCCCCCCATTGGGTCTTGGTGTCTCCCATTGGGTCTTGGTGTCTCCCATTGGGTCTTGGTGTCCCCCATTGGCTTCTAGGCCCCCCATTGGGTCTTGGTGTCCCCCACTGGGTCTTGGTGTCCCCCATTGGCTTCTATGTCCCTCATTGGGTCTTGGTGTCTCCCATTGGGTCTTGGTGTCTCCCATTGGGTCTTGGTGTCCCCCATTGGCTTCTAGGCCCCCCATTGGGTCTTGGTGTCTCCCATTGGGTCTTGGTGCCCCCCATTGGCTCTTGCTGCCCCCAGTGACTTCTAGGCCCCCCATTGGGTCTTGGTGTCCCCCATTGGCTCTTGCTGCCCCCCATTGACTTCTATGTCCCCCATTGGGTCTTGGTGTCCCCCATTGGCTCTTGGTGCCCCCTATTGACTTCTTGTCCCCCATTGGGTCTTGGTGCCCCGCATTGGCTCTTGGTGCCCCCCATTGACTTCTATGTCCCCATTGGGTCTTGGTGTCTCCCATTGGGTCTTGCTGCCCCCCATTGACTTCTATGTCCCCCATTGGGTCCTTGGTGTCTCCCATTGGCTCTTGGTGCCCCCCATTGACTTCTATGTCCCCCATTGGGTCTTGGTGTCCCCCCATTGGCTCTTGGTGCCCCCCATTGACTTCTAGGCCCCCATTGGGTCTTGGTGCCCCCCATTGGCTCTTGGTGCCCCCCATTGACTTCTATGTCCCCATTGGGTCATGGTGTCCCCCATTGGCTCTTGGTGCCCCCCATTGACTTCTATGTCCCCCATTGGGTCTTGGTGCCCCCCATTGGCTCTTGGTGCCCCCCATTGACTTCTATGTCCCCCTTTGGGTCTTGGTGTCTCCCATTGGCTCTTGGTGCCCCCCATTGACTTCTAGGCCCCCCATTGGGTCTTGGTGTCCCCCATTGGCTCTTGGTGCCCCCCATTGACTTCTATGTCCCCCATTGGCTCTTGGTGCCCCCCATTGGCTCTTGGTGCCCCCCATTGACTTCTATGTCCCCCATTGGGTCTTGGTGTCTCCCATTGGGTCTTGGTGTCCCCCATTGGCTCTTGGTGCCCCCCATTGACTTCAATGTCCCCCATTGGCTCTTGGTGTCCCCCATTGGCTCTTGGTGCCCCCCATTGACTTCTATGTCCCCCATTGGGTCTTGGTGCCCCCCATGGCTCTTGGTGCCCCCCATTGACTTCTATGTCCCCATTGGGTCTTGGTGTCTCCCATTGGCTCTTGGTGCCCCCCATTGACTTCTAGGCCCCCCATTGGGTCTTGGTGTCCCCCATTGGCTCTTGGTGCCCCCCATTGACTTCTATGTCCCCCATTGGCTCTTGGTGCCCCCCATTGGCTCTTGGTGCCCCCCATTGACTTCTATGTCCCCCATTGGGTCTTGGTGTCTCCCATTGGGTCTTGGTGTCCCCCATTGGCTCTTGGTGCCCCCCATTGACTTCAATGTCCCCCATTGGCTCTTGGTGTCCCCCATTGGCTCTTGGTGCCCCCCATTGGCTCTTGCTCTCCCCCATTCCCATCCCCTCCCCCCATCTCCTCACCGCGGGGCCCGGGTAGGGGCTGCGCCCGCAGCTCTCGCGCCACGAGAGGTTGAGGCTGCGCTCGAACTCGCCGTAGAAGGGGTGGCTCGTGTTGAAGAGGGAGAAACCCAGCACCGAGCTGGGCGCCGCCGAGCCCAGGCGCAGCAGCGGGAAGTCCTGTGGGGCACGGCCAGGGGGCGCTATGGGGCGGCTATGGGGGGGTTATGGGGGGGATATGGGGGGGTTATGGGGTGGTTATGGGGTGCTATGGGGTGTCTATGGGGTGCTATGGAGTGGTTATGGGGTGGATATGGGGTGCTATGGGGTGTCTATGGGGTGCTATGGGGTGCTATGGAGTGGTTATGGGGTGGATATGGGGTGCTACCTGGGTGGATATGGAGTGTCTATGGGGTGCTAGGGGGTGGTTATGGGGTGCTATGGGGTTCTATGGGGCGCTATGGGGTGCTATAGGGTGTGTACGGGGGGGTCTATGGGGGCTAGGGGGTGGCTGTGGGGTTCTATGGGGTGGTTATGGGGGTGCTATGGGGTGCTATAGGGTGGCTATGGAGTTCTATAGGGTGGCTATGGGGTGTCTATGGGGTGCTATGGGGGTCTATGGGGTGTCTATGGGGGGTCTATGGGGTGCTATGGGGGTCTATGGGGTGCTATGGGGTAGAAGGGGTGGCTCGTGTTGAAGAGGGAGAAACCCAGCACCGAGCTGGGCGCCACCGAGCCCAGGCGCAGCAGCGGGAAGTCCTGTGGGCACGGCCAGGGGGCGCTATGGGGCGGCTATGGGGGGGTTATGGGGGGGATATGGGGGGTTATGGGGGGGATATGGGGTGGTTATGGGTGGTTATGGGGTGGATATGGGGTGCTATGAGGTGTCTATGGGGTGCTATGGAGTGGTTATGGGGTGGATATGGGGTGCTATGGGGTGTCTATGGGGTGCTATGGGGTGCTATGGAATGGTTATGGGGTGGATATGGGGTGCTACTGGGTGGATATGGAGTGTCTATGGGGTGCTAGGGGGTGGTTATGGGGTGCTATGGGGTTCTATGGGGCGCTATGTGGTGCTATAGGGTGTGTACGGGGGTCTATGGGGTGCTAGGGGGTGGCTGTGGGGTTCTATGGGGTGGTTATGGGGGTGGCTATGGGGTGCTATAGGGTGGCTATGGAGTTCTATAGGGTGGCTATGGGGTGTCTATGGGGTGCTATGGGGGGTCTATGGGGTGTCTATGGGGGGTCTATGGGGTGCTATGGGGTTCTATGGGGGGTCTATGGGGTGCTATGGGGTAGAAGGGGTGGCTCGTGTTGAAGAGGGAGAAACCCAGCACCGAGCTGGGCGCCGCCGAGCCCAGGCGCAGCAGCGGGAAGTCCTGTGGGGCACGGCCAGGGGGGCGCTATGGGGCGGCTATGGGGGGGTTATGGGGGGGATATGGGGGGGTTATGGGGGGGATATGGGGGGGATATGGGGGGGTTATGGGGTGGTTATGGGGTGCTATGGGGTGTCTATGGGGTGCTATGGAGTGGTTATGGGGTGGATATGGGTGCTATGGGGTGCTATGGAGTGTTTATGGGGTGGATATGGGGTGCTACTGGGTGGATATGGCGTGTCTATGGGGTGCTATGGGGTGGCTATGGGGTGCTATGGGGTGCTATGGGGTCTATGGGGTACTATGGGGTGCTATAGGGTGTCTATGGGGGTCAATGGGGTGCTATGGGGTGGATATGGGGTGGTTATGGGGGGATACGGGGTGCTATAGGGTGGCTATGGGGTGGTATGGAGTGGAAATGGGGTGGATATGGGCGGATATGGGGCGGTTATGGGGTGGCTATGGGGTGGTTATGGGGTGCTATGGGGTGGATATGGGCTTGTATGGGGTGGTTATGAGGTGGCTATGGGGTGCTATGGAGTGGTTATGGGGTGGATATGGGGTGCTACTGGGTGGATATGGAGTGTCTATGGGGTGCTAGGGGGTGGTTTATGGGGTTGCTATGGGGTTCTATGGGCGCTATGGGGTGCTATAGGGTGTGTACGGGGGGGTCTATGGGGTGCTAGGGGA